TTTTATTTTATAGTTTAGTGGACAATAAAATAGAGAACTCATAAATATTAATGTTATATGAGGTTTTTTTTTCTTCTAATCAGTTAATATTATATAAAGTTAATTTAGTGCAGATAGTTCTTTTTAAATTATTTTAAAGAACCTGTTAAAAACACAACTAATAGTTAATATATTTTTGTTGAAATGAAAATTTTATTCATGTAAATATCATACGGTCAAAATTTTTAAATTAATATAATATTTCTAATCTTTTAATTAAAAAATTTCTATTAAAGATCTATATAAATATAACTTTTATCTTAATTATTAGATTTTAAAGTTATTAATTAAAATGTGATATCTTGCGTCTGGGATGAAAATTCATATAACGATGAATTGGTTCGGTATGAACCAATACCAAACTGATGCCGATGTCTACATATATAGACTATCTTGCACCCATACTAGAGGTGAAAATGGAAAATAGAGGGTAAAGGAGAATGCCCATAATTATTATTCTTCTTTACTGGAATATTACACTTGAATTATTTTTGGTAGGGGTAACACATTATTGTGTTGGGATTAAATTTCTTTCCCAACTAGCTTCAGGCAGCTGAATAATTATTTAATTGCAAGGTAGAAGAAACATAGAAGTCTGATTATTTCTTGCAAACAACGCCCTGTCCATCAACTCCGCTCGCGCAGCTCAATCCTGGTAGTTCCAAATTCTTGAAATAATCGTCGTCATGGCTGCCACTGAACCTAGCAACTGCGCAATCGGTGGCAAAAAGGCTTGAAGCTTCAAATTTTCTATCTCCTCCCATTACAGGCATTTTTGCTCCAATGTTAACTGGACTCATATACCCAGGTTTGTATGTCTGTCCTAAAACGCGGTTCACTTTATTGCTCAGTGAGTAGAACTTGAATCCCAAGTCGAGATGGGCAAAGCAATCTTCTTGGGTTATGCCATAGTTGTGAATCCTGGAGTCTTCTTCGGTGATGGGCACAACCTTGGCCGTGATCTTGAAATTTCCTTCGACTTTAATCACTGCGTTGTTGGTGTCAACGGCTCTGCTGATGGAGATACCGGTGGTGGATTCCGGGTACCACTTAGCGCCATCAGTTTCTGGGAGGGTGATGGGTTCGCCGTCAAAGGTGAGGCTGAGGTGCTCCACGCTGTCATCCCAAGTTGAGGTTTTCAGGGCACCGACGAAGAGTTGGTGTTTGTCGAAGAGGATTGCAATGGATTGAACCCATGTGAAGTCCCTGCCCATGTTTTCATTTCGCCTGCCTATGAAGTGGCCATTGATGTGTATGTTGGAGTCAGATACGAGGCAGAAGTCTCGGTCCTTCTTGCCATGGAAGTAAAAGGTGATGCCATCACCACCGATGAAACGAGGGTCCTGGCACACTGCCCCTGGTTTATCACACTCTGTTTGCATTCGCACGGATAACAGATTGTAGAGTTAGAATGATACAATTTGTTTATAGAAGTGTTTGATGAAATTATTGTTTAAAAACGAAGTTATTTACAGAGTCGTATATATTATGCGAGCTGATGTGCTCAGAGACTTACCGCAGACAGGTTTGCAAGTGACACAATCAACCTCACATCCACCAGGGCAAGATTTCGGGCATGAATACTCCACATTATAGCACTGGGGGTAATTCTTGTTCTTGCATTTGGCTTTCGATGGAGCAGGACCCGATGAATCGATGATGATGTTGAGGGAGAAGGTGGAGTTGGGGTATTAGTTGGAGGTGTTGGATTTGGTGGTGACTGTGATGGAGGTGAGGGCGGAGATGGAGTTACATTAGGGGCTGTTGGAGAAGGCACTGATGGGCTCGGAGGTGAAGCTGAAGGGGGTGATTCTGGTGGAGTTGGGGTGTCTTCTGGATCAGAAGAAGGTGAAGGGGAAGATTCTGGTGGAGTTGGGTTGTCTTCTGGAGGAGAAGGTGAAGGGGGAGATTCTGGTGGAGTTGGGTTGTCTTCTGGAGGAGGAGGTGATGATGGACCACAGATTGGTTTGCAAGAGGCACATTCAACTGTGCAACTATCAGGGCAAAACTTGGGGCATACATGCACCAGGTTGTAGCAATGTTTGTATCTCTTAATCTTGCATGTTGCTTGACTAGGATTCTTTGCAATTCCCGGCCGAGTTGCCCCAGCAACTGCAAACAGTAACAGAAGGAGAACGGCGAACACATGTCCTTTTGGCGCTTGAGCCATTGAAGAACCAAGTATAAAGCAAAACAAGCTCTGAATTTGTGAGTGACATTTCCATTTCCAAGAACCCATTTTATAGTTGTTCTGCCCCCCAATGTTGTCCGGATCATGTGATTTGGTTCAGCGCATATTTTTTGTTAATAATCCTCAATCAAAGTCAAATACTTGTTACATAATAGAAAATTATATTCAGTAATCTAGGTAAGTTTGCTGAGTTTTGCAATTGCTTCTGTTTCCTTAACATGAACATGGCGTTACTTTCCTAGGAAGAAAGAGAGGACACTTTCAGGATAGCTACTCTTCTTTATTTAATTGTCTGGATATTATTTCTTTTTATCTTGGGAAATAGCTGTGCCGGCAAAAAGTGCTGAATAAGAAAAATAATGCTTCATAATCAAATATTAATTAATAAATAAAATGCAGAAATTAACTTGCATAAAAATTGTACGTGCTAGTTTGGAGCAACATTTGAATCGATTATGCAATATTAATCAAATAAGGAAAATAATGCTCCATAATCAAATATTAATTTTCTTAAGCTTATTAATCGATTATGCAATAAAATACATGCTTGTTTGGAACAACATTTGAATCGATTATACGGGTGAGTGGTCATTTGGCCTAACTTCTAGAATACTTTATCTATGGGGGAAAAAGCAAGACCCAACAAGTTCTTTTTTTTAGGGTCTTCGGCTTTTTACAATATGAAGTTACATATAATATAGTGCATTGAAACTTGCACATTAAGTTTTGGATGAAATTTGTCGTAATCTTAGGCTATCTTTGGAATTTTAAAATTATTGTGTATTTTAAAGTAAAAAAATGATTGATGCACCGTTCGGTTTAACACACCTAATAACATTCATCGATTCAGTCATTAAAATTTGTTTTCAAAAATTTTTTCGCCTTAAATTCAAATTTGAAAATATTAGTTTCTTAATAATTGAACCAGTAGGTGTTGTTAGATGTGTTGAATTGCAAAGTGTATCAATTATTGTCCTTTAAATTACAATATTCTAAATAGAGAGAGTAATTTTGTAATTTATCTTGTGTAAATTATATATTTTTTATTCGTTGATTCTCATCTCTCGTTAATGGTTACTTATATCACTAATCTATTGCAAAAATTATGTGCATGTTCGATAATTATTTTGAGAAGGAGAAAATTAGATATTAACCTATATCGTAAAAATTTAAGCAAACTCTTTTAATTAAACGACGCTATTTTGGCCTTAAAGTGCCCCCTTCCCTCGTTTACCCTTCTACCCAATTTGGTCTACTCCATCGAACAAAATCCCTAACCTTCTTCATCTGTGGTTGCTGCAATTTCTTTGAAACTAGAAAGAAAACAAGCAACACCAAACCCCATAAACCCACATGATAAAACCAACACAAATTAAGTCATGGCTAACTTCATAGTCTACTATTGGACAACATCTTCAATGAATACAGAAAGCTTGCTGGAAGGAAAAATGATTAATAAATTTTCCAAAAGCCTCTAAAATTTACGTAAAAAAATAAGGCAAAAAATACTTCAAAACTACATCTAGTTTAATAAATGAATTAGTATTTTTTAACACAATTTTGACAACCTTAACAAATGAATTGGTAACCATAACCATACCCTTTTTATATAATGCTTGTGTTCATTAATATCTTTACTCTCTTTTTCTTTGTTCATAGTAAATATTCTCTACTTAATAGATGTTTATTTTTATCTTTCAATTAATGGTTTTTGTTATAGACTAAGAAATGTTACTTCATTTCTTTCTTTTTTTTTTCAAATTGACACACAAAATCAACTTTTTATCAAATTTTTACTTCACCCTCCTAAAAATATTTGCCCAAATCCCTAATTCTACTTCTCAAATAAAAAGGTAGGGACAAATCTAATGTTATTGATGCCGTACCATATCAATCGGTATGGTACATACATATCAATTTTTACATTGAATTGAAACGGTACATGATTCAATTTCATTTTGGTCAAATTTCGTCCATTTCAATCAAATTTTGATATGCTAGCCAGTATTTCAATGTACTTGCCGGTACACGAAAATTGACTTGTAGAACTCAATTCAAATTTAAAAATGGTAAATTTCATTTTTTGTTCTCAACTTTAATGTTTTACATGATTTTTATCCTTTAATTTTTTTATACACTTTTTTAGTCCATCAACTATGAAAAATGTATTTTTTTTAGTCTTTCTATCAATTACTCTATTAAATTTGTCTAAATATGCACATTTTAAGTCCCTTAACTTAAAGTGGATGGACAAAAAATATGCATATATTAAAAGTTGAGGGACTAAAAATGGTCATTTTAAACTTGTTTTCAATTTATAGGAATATGATACTTTTAAATATTAGTATTTCTTATCTTATTTTAAAATTTGATATTTAATTTATAAAAATATATTTTATAGTGATAAATTTAAAACGGTACACGAAAAATTTTGATATCTAGTACGTATCGTTCCAGTAGCAAAATCGGTCCGTATACCGATAGAGTATTGACAACTTTGGACAAATCCACCCTAAAAAAAGATAAAAACAAATTACCTTTCTAAATTATCAATTATGAAAAATCACAATTTATTTAATGTATAACGCCATCACGCGTAAAGTTTCTATTAAAAACATGTTTAGGTGATAAATGAATTTTTGACATATAATAACATCACACATTAAATAATATTTTGCAGGGACAATTTGTATCTCTGTTTTTTTTTTTTTTTAAGAACGAATCTGTGCCTTTCCTCTTATCTGCAAATTTAAAAATTTAACCAAAATATTTTCTAGCTCTGCCATTGATATAACTTAAAAGAAGTCGATGAATAGCATGAGAGGGCAGCAGTGGATGCTGCCAATTTTCCATAATGTTCAAAATTGAGGACATATTTATCTTTTTATTTAGTTAATTTTATTATTATTATTATTATCTTGAGTTAGACAATAAAAAAACAACTTTCCCTTATTCTTTAAGTTACCTCATTTATATATTATACAACTTAAATTTAATAATTTTTACTTTCATTATAAAAATATTACCACTAAATTATATAAATTATTAGCTATTAAATTGATTTTACTGATTTAACTTAACTACAGCTAAGTCCAGCCAAGCATTTTCCTATTCCGGGCAAGCAAGGAGACCCACACAGGACGAACTCCGTTAAGTTTGGATGGCAATGTGATGTCATGTCACGGAAAAGGAAAGTAGACCAAGTAGTTCGAGGGCAAATTTTTCCAAAAGAAAGAAAAAAAAAAGTTTAAGGGCAAATCATCCACAAACAACGAGTTCAAGGGCTATTTAGCCCTTTCCCACTAAAAATCTAACCGCATAATTTTTGTGTTTATATCATATAATTAAAGCCCATACACATTCAAGTTCAAAAAAAAAAAAGAAAAAAGAAAAAAAAGCCTATACACATTCATATTATCAGAAAATTACTCTTATTTCTCTGAACTGCATCTCCATTCAACTGCATGAAGGAGACTACTGAAGAGCTATAAAACCATCCCATGTCTCACATTCCAAACAAGAGCTCCTAGCAGTCCGTTTTTCCTGCAAAAGCTAGTAAGTTTCAGTGAGTATTCCAACACAACAAATTCTGGAAACGAATAAAAGAAGAGATAGTAGGGCAATTTTGGCTTCATGGAACAGCTATTCCCCAAGGACCAGATCCGACAATTTAGCAGGTAGAATTTTGAAAAATGAAGCAACAACACCATGGAATGCCTGTTGTATGAACCCCAACTTTAGCTTTCAAAAAAGAAGATAATAGCAAATAATTGTAGCTAAATAACTGTCAACTCAGTTCAGAACTTACGATCTCCATAATTAATATCATTTGATGAGAATGCATCTTATTGGTGACCCTTCAGCACCAAGCAACCTTAGAGGTAAGCAATGAACATCATATATTCCTGGTTGGACATCATCGAGTTTCAGACCTTCCACAAGAATGATCTCCTGGATCACAGATGAGCAGGCATTAGGAACAGATGTTTAGACCATTTTTCTCTTGTATCAAAAGATATGGTTTAACAAAACTCAAGCCTTCCTTTATTGACCATTTGACCCATTATTAATCATTAGAATTAATCAACAAGCATCTTACCCTCCCCAACAAAGTTATTACTTCACAAATTTGGCTTGCATTCTAGTATTCTAGTTTAAGATTTTAAAATAGTCATAACTAACTTTGAGATGCCTTTTACTCCAGCTAAACTCATTTCTAGTTTCCTACTTTTCTTATCAAAAAAAGGGGGGGAAAGAAGGGAGTCCAGCTACACCCCAAATTAATTATAAGGAAAACATCATAAGAAACTATTGCCATACAAATGACAACAAATGAATTGAAAACTAGATATTTCCTATAATTTTTGGATATAGTGACAAGGATACAAGAAGCAGACATTCAACAGTCAACTAAAACCATGGTTATAGAAAATCATAAACATGGTTAAATGATCCTAGTAACAATGAACCACCAAAATGTAAAAACAGGATGTATGAGAATTTCATAGCAAAATATTTGTTAAACATAGAAGAGCAGATTATTGTTTATTAACATGTACAATAATGATTTTCTTACCCGGCCTTCCAGAAAAACAAGATGAGACGGAATCAGATCATCATAGGCAGCAACAGATAAGTAATCAATTCCTACATTTCATAGAGCAGACGAACGTGTTAGTACAACCACTAATGTCACAACCACACAGAGACAGCCAGTTGATCAAACCAATTAGAAATCAACTTTATATTGTTTCTGGAAAGACGTCAACAATGTCAGCAGACTAAATAGAACACATGGAAAATAAAATCTTCATGAATCATTCCAGGAATGAACATAGTAAGACAGAGCTCTTGACTTTGATGATCTAAAACATTTTTAAGATATACTAAATGCACCTTAGTAAAAACAGGTGGTTGTGCATTTAAATCCATAAAATGACTTAGAAAGTATTACTTACATTGTTTACTACATAATAACATAGATCACCACAGGCATAAGAGCAAAGTATTTTTTCTAAGAACATTTCAGTAATAGAACTGAATCAAAATTTATGATGACAATCAAAATCTTACCAACAAGTTTGATGTCAGTGTTCTTCACCAACCACTCTGCCCCATCCTTCATAAACCCCACATAGCTAGTGTCAAATTCTTTCTTGAACATAAGGCGCCTGAAATTGAGAAGTGAAGCTCAGATTTACATCCATAAGTGTTAACTATTGTCCAAAAAGGTTAGAAGAGTGCTCAGGCAAAATTCATGGTTGACAGCCTTGCTAAACTATAGGCATTCCTAAACATCAACTAATTACTAATCAATGTTTATGCTTTTATCATGAATTGACTATGAATAAAACAGGTATACTAATTTCCATTGTCCTTAAAGAATTGGTAATGAATCCAGCCATTGGGATCACATTCCAAATTCTAGTATCTCAAGTAAGATCTCCTGATTGTTCCAATCCAAGAGAACATCATTCTATCATCCAGGCATAAATCACTAATGGCAATTTCAGTATAAGATAAAATATAAAGACAATCCATAATCCAAAATAAGAACATACAATCAGTGCTGATTATCAGTTACCTGTCTGTGTTTAATGTTCTAAAAAGAACTCTACGCACTCCCTTTGGGATTTTTAAAGCCTCCATCACTTCAGCTGTAATAAATAGGCATGTCAAAAAAACCAATGGAAAAGAACCAATAAACTATAGAGAAAGTTTCCATACCTATTACTATCAAGCATCAACTCTACAGTTACACTCACTTTTCTAACAACTTTAACATATCTTTTTATTGCCAAATTTTTTAAGTTCCCTTAGCACTGCAAAGCTTTGAACCCTCGAACTTAACTCAGAATCAAGGTTAGCTTTTTAAAATCATTGTGTATCAATTCAGCTAAGCTTAGTAAATCTGAATCAAGCTGAGTACAGGAAGGATTATAGAACACACCAAAAAGTCGTACCAGTAATGTTTTTATCCCTTGGAACGTCAACTAATAGTGCAGGACCTACCAAATGACCAAATATTGGCATTAGTAAATTGTAAAACGCAGTGAAATTAGAAGGAGCAATTGAAAATTTCAAAATCCTTTTCGTTTACCATTGAGGACCTCCAAATCAAGCGTATCAACATCGAATCCGGCATCAAAGTAATGATCAAAGACGTGGCCAGGGGCGTCAACGTGAGTGCCGGTGTGGGTCGGCAGCTTCATCTCGGAATTGTTGGCGAGAGAGCCGTTCTTCATGCTTGAAGGCAACCACAGGAACTGTCCCAAACCATCCTTTTTGTCCCAAGACGGCATGTCGTTTGTTATCCTGTGACTGATGTCGAAGATTCTCCCATCAGCATATACTTCGCGCCGAATAGGAATCAGATTCTCGTCTCCTGAAGAGAGTGTGCAGTCGGTGGGGTCGAAGGCGCCGGGAACCGAGGGGTAGGCGGTGGTGGCGGTGGTGGTGAAGATAGAGGAGAGGAGGAAGAGGCTGAAGATCGGAGACATGGTGGGATGAGTTTGAGGTTTGACGAGAGTGAGGAGTGATGCGGAGCAAGTAGAGTAGAGACCGGTGGTGCGTTTGGTTGGATGGCTGGACAAATCATGGCAGCAGTACCTTTCTTTTTTTTTGTATGGACCTGTCTGAAAGTTCATTACACTACTTATTAATTTGGATTCGATTAATTTGAATTTGAATCGGTTAGATTTGATGGAGGGTGAAACTTTCTTTTACAAATTTTAATAAAATTGTATTTTTAAAATTTTAAAATTAAAATTTTTAATTAAATTGAATAATTCCATACCAATTCACCTACTCACTCATTAGTATGTTAGCAGTATTTCAAACCAATAAAAAAATATCACATGAGTTTTTTTAAAGGCCTCATCAATCATCGAGAGGATAATAAACAGTAAATTCTAATTTAACTCGCGGTAAATTTTTCAAAATTGAATTCCCGGTAGACACTTTTTTTTCCGGCTCTCCTCAGCCCTGTCTTTAGCGTCTTCTGTTTTTTTTTTTTTGTTTTCTTTTCTTTCTAATTCTATTTTTTCACATAGCTTTTCTTTTCTCTTCATTGCATCTGTAGAGACTCACGGTCATGGCTATTGCAACTTGAGATTCAAGGTGAAACTAAATATTAAGTTTCTCTTGTTTAGGTATAACTATTTTCAATTAATAATTTGCAATGGTTAAGTTTTGCTTGTGCAATTTGTAGATGTATCCTTTTTTGGTTGATTTGGTTGAAAGAAGAATAGGTAAAATTAGTTATAAGAAATTAAACTTTTTTCATGCCCACCAAGTGTTTGACATATTTCCTGAGTAAGATTACTTATGAGGGGATAATGTTTGAGCAAGCTTGAGGAAGATTTTGTTCTTTTTCACAAAATTCCTATATTTTTTATGTATTTCCTAATTTATGGCATTGATGGGACATTCTTTGTTAGCTGGGACAACTTTATTTGCATATCCTCCATTGAGTCTAGAAATCATCTTGATTGATTGGAGATAAGTTTGGAATGCCTTTTGTGCCATTAGTGATAATATGCAATTTGCATCCATAGCATCAAAAGATGAAATTCTTGCCTTTTCTTGTCATTTTTTTAGCTTGTGTGCTATGCAAGTGATTGATTTTTGGTAAGCTAAGCAACTTATATAACCCTCAAACTAATGATATATTTATAGATTGAGAATGGGACTAGGACATAAAGTTCAAAGAAGTTGGCTTTTCATCGTCTAAGAAACCCCATTTAAAGAGTTAGCCATGGCACAATGACTACTAATAGAAAACAGAGGGGGAACATCAAGATTCAAGAATTGCTTTGTATTTTTCTTTTTCTTTATGGGGTCAGGAAATTGTCTTGTAATCATTTTCACAAGAAAATTGCCTTGTATCATTTCGAGAATGACAATGTATCTTCGAATATTATTTTATTATTAATAAAAGTTTATTTTTCTAATAAAATATTGTTATTTTGGTATAAATTTAGCTCTTAAAACATATTATCATCCATATGAGTAACTAATGCAAGTTTTATATAAAATCATTGTGGAACACAAAAGGTATATTTCAATTTCAGTATATAATCATCTAATATACCAAAATATTATCATATGATCTATAAAGTGACTCTCATAACTTATCCACATTTTCAATGATTTTGTTTTGTCAATATTTCATAGTTATTTGCAACCTACAGATATAAGAATGCATATGCTTGTTAAGAGAATGAGCAACATCTTATCAAATCTCAAAAGCCAATTCATAAATTGTCAAAATGGGATTGAAATCTTGAAAATTTGGAGAAGTCAAAATAGGATTAAAATCTTGAAGCATTTCCATAAAAGGTTGTATGTGGATGAAAAAACACACACTTTGAAGTTTGAAATAGTACCTTGTACATGAAGATGAAGCTATGTGTCAATAAATTGTATAATATTAAACAAAATCATACAGTAAAGACCAATAAGTACCTAATTATAAAGACCAACACTTAATGATGCATTGACATTATTTCTTCATACTTGATTTTCTAAATTAAAAACGAAAAAGAATATATTAGTTGTATTAAATCTATCAATATTATAGACTAGTAGGATTCTACTCATTAGACTTGCAACATAATGCACTTTTGTAACAAATAATCAGTTGAAAAAGCATCTTAATTCTTACCAAACACATCAGGTTGTAGATTTTGAAGTGTAAAATGTTGCTAGATTTCAATAGCTGCTTCTCTCATCTTTAGAACCATATTAGAAGTTTTGGAGTTAAAGTACCATTTTGGTCCCTCAACTTTTTACTTTGTCACCAAAATTGTCCCTCAACTTTAAAAAGCACTAAAATTATCGTTAAACTTTCATTTTCGGTACTAAAATGGTCCTTCCGTCAGTTAAATGATAGGTGGCTCGTTAAAATGCTACAAAATCACTAAACTTTTTGAATCTTAATGACGTGTAAATCCAACTAAGAAAATTTTGTCACTATGGCATGTTTTTGTTTTTATACACGTGGCATATTTTTTTACACATCATATTATCACCTTTTTAACTTTCCCTTTTAATGGGGCCCACATGACATTTTTTTAACTTTGCTTATTCTTCCTCTCTCTCCTCTCTTTCCTCTTCTTCTTCGTCTCCAAATCTGGGTTTGAGGGTTCTCTCAACCCAAATACCATGCCAGCGTGACGATGAACAGAGTGGATTCTTCGATTGGAACCAGGCAACATCATCTTTAACACAATGAGCTTCTCCACACCTTAAAACTCACAAATCCACAAATTACATTCACATATGAATCCACAAGCAAGATTCAACAGATACCAAAATTAGGAACGATAAAGCATACCATAACGATCCCAACTTCGCACTTGATGCCAATCATCATTCTGAAACAACAGAAAAAAAAAATCTTGAGGAAATTGAAATTGCAAGCTAAATGCACAACAAAATAGAAATAGAACAAACCCACTGTTATTGACGACTTTGGCGGCGTACTTGATCTGGAAAACTCTGCCTCATCCTTCTTCTTTCTTCTTCTGATTCTTTCTCTCTCTCTCTCTCTCTCCTCGCTTCTTCTTCCTCTCTCAAACCCAAATCTCAGTTTTCCTGAAACCCAGATCTAGGTTTCATCACATAAATTTGGGTTGTGGTAATAATCCATCTGCGTCAAGCAACGACCATCACCAGGACCATCATTGACACCAATCTGAGAGATCCTTGGTGGAATGCCACTCACGCGACCTTGAACCAACATTTCGTCCGTTGAAGAGGAAATCTAACCACCAGCATGATCGTGAGTGTGATCGTCACTATGATTACGATGACCGTGAGAAAGACCATGATCGCCACCACCATCACCACCGCTCAGAGTCCTCTACAAAGCCCAGGACTGAAGCAGCCACTAAAGTCACTTTTGTATCTCCAACAACAACTGCCGCAAACAAGAAGCATAAGGGGAGCATCTTCTCTTGCATAAGTTTCCCTGAGGAAGAGGCCAATAAGAGACGCAAGCTGTCCTCTTAGCCTTGAGGGATTGAGGGATTTGATTTTGTTGGTTTTAAAGGATAATAACAAAAAAGGGAGCCTTGAGAAATATGTTCGCATTTTCTTAAAATTGAATATTGTTTTCAATTAAAATAGAAAATTGGGGAAAAAAAAATATCTCGTCGGGTCAGCCTTGAATATGGTATTGTTGCGAGCTAGACTACATTTTTGCTTCTTTTCTTCATGTGATTTCTTTGATTGCAGTTGGAGGAAGGAGAAAAGTGCAAAAAGAATTTGAGCAAAACCCAAATTTATGTGATGAAACCTAGATCTGGGTTTGAGAAAGGAGGAAGAAGCGAGAAGAAAGAGAGAGAGAAAGAATAAGAAGAAGAAAGAAGAAGGATTGGCATGGAGGAGGAAAGGAGGAAGAAGATGAAGTTTGAGAGAGAACTCAGATCTGGGTTTACAGAGGTAAGGGAAAACGAAAGGCAAAGGAGAGAGAAAGTGAAAGAGGAAGAAGAGATGAAGTGGATGAAAACAAATTATTATTTTTCAATTAAATAAAAATGCCAACTCATACAAAAGATGACCAATTATGTTTTTTTTTTCCACGTCTTTAGTTAAGAAAAAAATAATTGATTTGCTGCCAAGTTAATGAGTCACCTGTCATTAATTGACGGAAGGACTATTTTGATATCAAAAATGAAAGTTTAAGGATAATTTTGGTACTTTTTAAAGTTGAGGTACAATTTTGGTATCAAAGTGAAAAGTTGAGGGACCAAAATGGTACTTTAACCGAAGTTTTTGCATCTTTTGCCTTATTCTTCTTCTTCTTCATATATATTTTTTTTTCTGAGGCTTTTAATTATAGCATTAGTCAATCTTTTCTTTCTCATGCATGGAGGATCAAATACCACTTGGTTATCATCTATGTGCATTTTTGTTGTAGCAACTTCAGTTAAGCTTTCTAAGTTTTGTTAATTAACTCTAAAGCCTCCATTACTTTTGTCTTCACAATTTTAGTCCCCTCAGCAATGAATGAACCTTTATCAAAAACATTGTGATCAAGATGGTTCAACTCACTAAAATGTAAAAGGCAAGCAGATTTTTCATTATCACAAGTTAAATCAACTGGTTCATAAACAACCCCTTTTCTTGCATTCTTTGTCCATCTCTACATGATATATTGTACTAGTATCTCATTTACATTATTCACAACAAGTACCCTTAAAGCATGGCTACATAAAAACGCCAAAGTCTCAAATAACTTGCAAGTATAAGAGATACTAAAATTAGATTTATCAAACTCCACTTTCAAGACTCTTTTTGAACATGGCTTATCAAGTTCATACAAAAGTCTTGTCCCATCCTTTTCTACCTCAACACAATTTAGGCCTAAACCCTTGAAAAACTCTTCTTTAAAAGTTTGAAGCACCCTCATTGTGTAGATAGTAATAGTGTATCCCAAAATT